GGCAACCACTGAAGATGGATTCTAAGTGGTGCACAAGCGCACACATAGCAATTTGGCACACAGCAGGGACTGGGGGCGGGAGGCATTTTGGATTTGTCAGCTCATCGGCACAGCTAGGTTCTTGTCAAACAGCAGAAGTTGCACAAGTCCCTAGTGGCTGAGATGCAATTGGTGAAGCTGTGCTGGTCTGGAAAAGCAAAGATGTGAGGTCACAGGATCATTTTCTCCCTCATGCTGCAGCACAGTTGACAAATTAGCTCATAATCCAGCATTACCTCCTCAACTCTCATTCTCTTTCTTGTGTGCCCCAAATTTTATATCAGTTCTGATATCTATTCTTTCTCTCTGTATCTTCATTTCCCTGTCTTTATGTATCAGCAAATTTGTTAATTTGGATCCCATGAATGGCTAGGAAATTTTAGAGACTTTATTGTGGTCAGCACAAGCTTGTGCCCAGGAAAGATTTTGTCAAGCCCAGGGATTTCTAAAAGGTGATGCACACACCGAGGGAGTTACACAAGCTGCTGCAAAGCAGTACCCAGTACAGGGCTGAATCAGGGGTTGTTTTTGCCAATATTGCTGCTGCCACTGATGTGCTATTGATGGCCTGTCAAGAAGTATATAAAAATTGAAAGTATATTATGTTCCTGGTCTAGGAGCTGAATATAGTCTGCATAGCATGACACAGATTTCCTTTGATGAGATGCCTCACACTTTCCTAAACTCATTTTCTGAGTTAAATTATTTTTTTCACTGTATTTTTGCATGACTCAGAGATGCCTTTTCTATTTGTGCTTGCAAGCAAAAAGCATTGGAGCTTTTTACGTCTGTGCTGTTTGGGAGATGTTCTTTCATCTGCAGGTAAATACAGGGTAGTTTTGGATATGATTGACTTCCTTCCATGACTGTCAGTTGCTTCAATTCATGGTATCAGAATTTCTTTAAGGTATCTCAGTGACAGGTTCATGCAACTGTGTGGATTAAGTTCCTGCCTTGACCTCTACTGCTGTAGATGTTGAGTCCTAATGAAGGAAGCAGGAGGATGCTGACAGATCCTTGCTTTTTGTGTTCACAGTCCTACCCCTGGTGCCGCACTGCACTCTGCTATGGTGAGGGGCTGCTTCCCTGTGAGTAGGAGCAACAAAGTACTCAGAAATTATTTTGGAAAAAAAATTAAGTCAATCTGTCACATAAGGCTTGGCCTGGAATTTATCTTGGAGTAACCTGATGATCAATCCACCCTTCCCCACTGTGGTAGAGACTGCATAATTACAGACTTCTGTAGGAATGGAGCTAGGATGTTCTGGAAATCTTACTTCAGGAGCAGTGCAGAGGAGCTGCTGCTCCTCCTTATCTCCCACAACACAACCCTGCACATCACACAGACTATTCTGCACACTGGATGTGTATTGCTATTCTTCAGATGAACTGATATACTTAAAAAACAGAAACAGAATGAAAATTTAGTAATTATTAGTAACCAAAGATAAGAGTAGATCCAGATCCATGTGCATCAAAACATTCAAATTTTGTTTGGGTAATGAAAGGGTGGTTGACAGAGTTCAAAAATAAGCCTCTAGTCTAGAGATCAAGGCAGTCTGCCAAATTAAAGTCCTGTTGCAGAAATATGTGAATATTCCCTTGTATATACAGACTAGCTGGAAACTTGCATATTGCTTTTACGTTATAAGAATTTGTTCTACCTATTCAACTAAAATAGCAACAGTTTTAAATTGCAGACGTCTCCCTCAGAGTTTTGTAGCTTTAGCTGGGTGGCTAGTTTCTTGTAGATGGGAAAAGGGACAATTTATTCCTTTCAGATGCTCTGTCACAGCTCTAACCACCAGGTGTTTTGGAAAAAAAACCAACAAAACCAAGGTATGACTTTGATTGGCCTAATCTTCAATATAACCTACAGCTTAATCTCTTCAGTTTTGCTGTGACAAAGTACAAATGAGTTAATTCAGTAGCAGATATTTGAAAGAGTTGTATTGAAAACTAGAGGCATCTCTGCAACAAGGCATAAACCTAAGTGTTTCTTTGCAGCATCCAACTCTTCTGGATCCGGTTGTATCTGTTTTTGTCCTGTAATACCCTTGGGAGTACATTTAAAAATACAGGGGTTAGAGGGCTTGGACTAAAAAAATGCTTTTCTTCTCATTATTATAATTGTGATTCTTCTTATAATGCACAACATGCTAAGTCAGTATCCTGGGGGACTGTACACTCCCTAGAAGTTCTACAGTACCATATAAAACAAAATCAACATATATATGAGAAAACTCGATAGTAGGGTAAAATCTGTTGTGGGAAATGTGTGCAGGCATATCCAACTCCAACACTAGCCTCCTGCCAGCACCTGAACAGCTTGTTTTGTGTTCTAAGGGCTTGCGCAATATTGAGTGATGACACCAGCTGTGCTCAGGTTCTTGAATTACAGCTCGGAGGGTGGTGGCCATCAGGGGACACACTGGGCCTGCAGGAGTGACTGGCTTGCTGCTACACTGAAAAGCAGAGGGTTGGGAGCTGAGGCTGAGAATTAAATAAATAGTTTCCCGAGTCTCTCTGGTTTTTATTATAACTTTATTTGAGAATATGGCTTTGCATGTCAAGTTTTTGCTCTGATATGCTTACCTTCTAGTGGTATGTGCTGGCAGGTTGTCCTGTATGCAATAGAGGCTTGAAGGAGACACTTACACCCCAGTGCTCTCAGAGGTGAGATATTCTCCTACCTGCACTCAAGCTTTGCGGCTAGATTTGGTTTTCATTTAGCTTGAATTATTTGTCATAAGAATTCTGGCTGAGGACACACATTTCCTGAAATGGATATACAACATATGCCTCAGCCGCAAAGATTCCTTATGAAACCGATGTCTGGTGACTTCCTCTTTTAAGGAAAGCTGTAATTTTCTTCCACAGTAAGCTTAATGCTTTTGACAGAAACTGAACAAAGTGAAGACCAATTTAAGTAATTTGTTTATATAGGTGGCTGCACATAGTCACTTAACAGTTTGTGTCAGATAAAGACAAAGCAGACTTCCCATGTTCCAGTTTGGCATGCATTATAAGGACTGTAAGATGTGGATCTGAATCCACATTCCTTAAGAGAAATGTTCCTTTCTCTAGCAGGCGGGATTATGTAGCTTTCAACACCTGACATCTTTCTCTGAAAGGCTGTAAAATACCAAGAAAATTTTCCAAATCTGACAATAATGCTATTTAAAAGATGTAAATGTAAATTTTATTTTTAATTTTTTTTAAGGTTTAGTTTAAAGATCGATTTTCTGCTTGAATTGAAATATGTCTAAACTGAACTACTTGAATGATTAGTCAGGGAATAAATAGACATTATTTGGCTATTGCAGTCTGGCAAGCCCATCTTGATTTGGTCAGCTAGCAGGGAACAATACAGCTAGCAGGGAAGGAGGAACCTGCCCAGTTCTTGGCCAGGCTTACATATTACTATAACAAGAGAGATTTGGCTGTGGAAATTAATCAAGTTTCTTTTCTCCGGGGATCAAAGAGGTTACTCAGAGGATGCAGGAAAAATGTAGGGATTCAGCTGTGTCACATTTTCTCTCTAATTGAGCTGTCTAGGGAGCCTCCCACGTTTTGCAGAAGTGGAAACATCCAGTTTCATTTTATCATTCTCAGACTGCAGCAGCTCTCTTCTTTGGAAGCCAAGGTCATGCTGCATTTAATTTTGGTGTTTATCCCTTTAATTTTTCTACAGTTTTGCAAATGCTTCTGGTGTATTTTTAAATTTTAGCTTATAATCACTTTTTTTTTTTTTTTTTAAGGCACCATCTGGTCCCTGATATAGTTTAAAATAACAATCTACCCAGGACACAACCAGCAATAGGACTTTACACCTTTCACAACCCAGTATGAGAGCTTCCCCACCTATATTTCTCCACAGACACTGTCACCATCAGATCCTGTTCCCTCCAGAGAGGTCTTGCAGAAAGCAAGGTCTTACAGCTCTGTCTTTCCATCCATTTCATCTTGAACATAGTCATTTTATGGAAACAAAATGGATGCACTATAGAAGCTTACAGCTAGGAATGTGGGAGGTCTGCTGTAAACAGCTCAGTCAGAGAATTTGTAGTTGGAGCTCACGTCTGCATTTAAGCTGCCCTCTGGTGCTTACCACTTCTGCAGTGCATGCCTTCATCGTGTCCCCTGGTGCCTGGAGACATCTGCAATATCCAGGGAGAAGAGGGAATCGAGCATTGTGAAAATTCCTCTCATATTAAAAAAAAAAAAAAAAAAAAAAAAAAAAAGTGGCCCCAATCTGTGGATGTTATATTTTAAGCAGGACATTAACATGCTATGTTATCATTGCAGGTTATACTGGGCAGGAAGGTTTTTTTGATTATGATTTTTATGAGTCACAGCATAGTTTATTTTATCTTCATGATGTGTGCAACAGCACTGTCTCTCATGGTGCTTTCCCAGTAGCCACAAATCAAAGCATGTCACCAAGCAGAGTGATCGTGTGACTGTCGCACTCAGCACAGCTGAGCCTCAGCCTGGTGTTTCTCCTCCGGCTGCTGGAGGACCTGAGGTTATCAGTGCCAAGGTAGCAGAGACAATAAATACGAATGTACCTTTTCCTACTGAAAGGACCTGAACCACTGCTGGAGACAAAAGCAGGCTAATGTAATTAACAGGAAAGGACTGCGAACAATTCTGGGACTTCTGTGCAGGTCACCTCTCTGATGGGATATCCACTGCTCTTTTTGGTTTGTTTTCCTATTAACTAAAGGCAAAGGTGGACAATTAGCTCCCTGCACGTTGCTGTGTGCCTGCCTCATGCTGCTGTCCCTCTGCAGTCCCTGGTGCTGGCAGCACGGGTGGTTAATATTAGCCCCACAGCTGATGGTCCCGATTGGTGCCCTGCAACAGGTGCGGGACGGCCGCCGTGCTGGAATCCCGCCCGGAGCGATGCCGGCGCTGGCACAGGCCTTCCCATTATATCAGGAAGGGCCATGTCCCGTCGCCACGATGCCCCGGCACCCCAGGCTGGCCCCAGCTGTCTGCGGGACGCGGAGCCGGGCGACAGGCAGCCAGGGAGGCTGCTGCAGGGAGAAGCGCACCGGGATTCCTCCGGAGCGGGAAGACGGGAGGTTCCTGGATGGCACCTACAGCTGTGGCTATGGGGTAAGGAGAAGGCTTCTACAGAGCCCCAGGCCCGTGGTTTTGCTGCGTTGCTCTTAGAGGAGGGAAACACAAACAAGTACTAAAAATCAAGTCTCAGCACTCTGCAATGAGCAAATACGGGTTGTGTTTGCTCATCATGTTGGCTGTAGTTTCTTTACAGTGCAGTACTTTGGGTTTGCATTAATTTTAATTGGCACTCTCTAATTTTAGAATGCTCCTGTGAAAAATTACTTTCAATTCCAGTGGTGATTAGATGGTGATGACGTGTTTTAATAATAAACATGGGACAGATACTGAAAAAGAAATCAAATGTGCTGGCGGCTTCTGGGGAGGGGAAGAAGTGCTATTGCTGTCCTCTAAAATTATCTAATCCGTCTGCTCTGGCATGATATCTTAAGGTCTCCCATCTCTTTTTGTATAATTTTTCTCTTTTTTTTCTTTCTTACCACTCTTTTTTTCTTTTGTTTTCTTAAACCATAATAGCATCTTTTGGTAAGAACAGCAAAATATCTAGGTGGTGTTTAGGAAGCCTAAATGTTACAGAGAGGAAGGGGGAGCCGAAAGACTTGTAAGGTTTTACAGGATCACTTCTAGTGTCCTGTTCCCTTAGTGTGACCCCTCTCAGTTGACTGTGTGAAGAAAGGCAGCTCCGTCAGGCAGGTCAGAAAGGATCTGTGTGCCACAGTGTGACTTGTGTGTGCTGGTGCTCTGCCTACATGCATGCTCAGGGATGGAGCCAGGCAGGCTTGCTTAGGGACTCAATCAGGCTCTGGCTGCACTGTCACAGTCTGCTGTGTGCTGGAAAACAGATACTGTTGCTGCTGCTGCTTCTAAATTAAGGAGAAAAGCAAAAATACAAGAGGGGCTCATCTCTAAATTCAGTGATTTCTGCTCTGAATTGATCACAACCCAGGGCAGTAGGTCAGCCTGAAGTAATGCTCCTGGAGAGTTAGATTGATGCAAGGGACTGAAGTCAGTGGGAATCTCTCCCTTAACTATGGTAGGTTTTGGGTCAGCACAGTCCTCACTATTTCATTTCTATGTGTAGCTGTGAAACAAATTTTTTGGGAGCTGTGGAATAATAAGTGCTATCTGGGCCAAATAAGTACAACAGAGAACTGATGAGAACGGTCCAACTTCAAAGGTGTCAGGTGTCTCTATGCATAGTCTTGGTTTTAGTTCCTACCAGGACAAGTTTTTAATTGAAGCCATTAAAATTTAGGCATTGTTTTGACATGAAGGAGAGAAAATACCTTTTCTCAGTGCTGCATGTGGGTAGTGCCTCAAAGAGGAGGCTCTTTGCTGTGGGAGCCATAATGCCTTAGGGGACTGTGAGATCCTTCCTGGGCCAGTGCCTCTGGCTGAGGACACTGCTACTGTAACACTACTACTGTCCTGCAGCTCCTGGCCCGTGCCCGGGCAGCACTGCGCTGGGGTTTGACGTGGTTGTTTGGCAATGAGGACACTATGTAAACTATGACAATCCCACACATCTCGCAGTGCCTTGACTCATGCTTCCAGTGAAACCTTTCTCCAGCTCCCTCTCCATTTCCCACCGCCCACCCACACTGGTTTCTATTCCTCTTATTTTGATACGTGAAGCAGAATTTGCTGCACCTCAAATTGGTGCTTCAGCCATGCCTGAGCAGGAGTTCCCACAGAGATGGGCCAGCGCCGTGGGTTGGTGTTGTGCTGAAGGGACACGTGCCAAGGCACAGGGAGGATACATGACTATCTCCCTTTGAAAGGGATTGATTTGTGACTTTGAAAGTGCCTCTATAAGCAGCTCACAGAGAAGCCATTTGCAAATTTGATGCCAGTTTTTAAGTGCAAGATGAAAGTGGATTTTGCTGCTACTAAAATCAGCAGCTCCGAGTCCCTCAGGAGAGGTGCAGCAGCCTGCGTCACTGGAGAGCCAGATCTGCCGCCTCGCTAAAGACCTTGCATCCAGGTAGGAAAGCATAAACGGACATGTGGATCTCCAGCAGTGCTGGGTGCACAACAGCACGTTAGTAAAAATGTTATTTGTTTTTTAACCGTTATGATAAAACGCTCAGAGTTACAAAAGTTTGAGAAGAAGAAAATGTTTATCCCACTTTGTACACAAATTGGTGATCTTAGAGAGAAGTTAGAGGGCATATCGAAGTACATTTTACAATTAATCTTTTATAACCAAGGAGGTCATGCAGTCATTACTGTATCTAGAAATGTTTATATATTTTTTTATTAAAATTATGCATCATTTTCAAAGGAAACTGACATTATGGGTTTATGGGCTCCTATATTACATTATGTAGTACATCGTTATCATAACTTACCCTCCCATCTTTCTACTAATTTCTTGGAAATTTAGCTTGTAATTTCACTACAACATATTACAAGAAAACCCAGTTACATTTAGAAGCATTGTGGGAATCCTCTCTTGTACTGTTGACACATTACCTGGTCAGATTGATTTTAATTTTCTGTTAAGGAAATAGAAGAATATACTCTAGTGGCATACAAGTCTAAGTGGCGAGAAAAACAATCCCTTTTACTTTTTCAACTACCACAAACATCTGCCTTTTCCTGTGCCCTAGGAGTGTTTACACATATATGCATTTGAGAATTTAATTTCTGTAATATAAAGAACCTGTGCTAAATACTCAAAAAAATGACCTTTTTAGGGTCCTTACACCACTGTTGGTGAAGCTGATGATAGCCAAGCATGCAAACAAGGTATCCCTTGGTCATAGACTGGCAATCTTGAATTTATAAAGGAACATTTCCTTCTTCTTCTAACACAGAAAATGTGATGATGGCCTGTTCCGTCCTCACTGAGGTCTAGAGACAAAGAGGAAGGGATAAAGGATGTTTGACAGAGCAATTGGGAAGAGAAGACTGGGACAATTCCTACTAGATGATGCTCTCCAGAGCAAAGGCAGATAGGTTTGCATACAGCTAGAATTGTGTATTCTTGAGAAAAATCTCACCTCCTAAAAATCAAAAGAGAGAAGGGAAATTACTAGAAACACAGAAAAATTATGCATGAACAATCTTACTGGAGGCTGCAGAGATACATCAGACCCATCTGCATGACCCATCTCTTGGGGATGTCTGACATAGCCCCATGGAGCTGAGTCTGTTGCTGTCCTGTTCTTGCCTGACTTTTATTGACAAAATTCACAATAAAGCTAGAGTAATATTAACATATTCTCGCTAACCATGATTGCATTTAGATGTCTTTGTCGTGAATCTAGATCTGTCTCAGATCTATCTAATTATGGCTTTCCTCTGTTACTTTCCTGGCAAGTTCAGCCCCTTCTCCCTTGTTGCTATGATGGGAACTGCATCCTTATTTACTTCTTCATCTCTTCTCTGCAGCAATTAAGAAAGGTTAGGTGAAAATCTAGGCTAAAGACATCCATATGTGTGCATGCAGGAGAGAGCAGGCAGGCACCACAATTATTCACAGGGAAGGAAGCTTCCATCCATTTCTCCTTTAAAGAAGAAGGAGGTGAGTTGTTCATACAGGCAGGTTGGCTTCTCCTATATTAGGAGTAGGTTATAGGAAAGGCTCATAAAGAAGGTGCCCACTCAGTCCTTATCAACATGCTGGCTGCTCCAGGCAGGTCAAGTGTTAATGGAAGAATGACGAAATGGAAAACAGTGGCAGCCCAGGCCCCTGGTCCCTGTGCAGTGCAAAGGCCCAGAGCAGGAGCAGGGCAGGTGACTACCAGTGATGGATGATGTTGAGACCTCAGAGGGAAATGCTATAATAAATGGTTGGTCTGACACAGTAGGAAATGTTTGCATAGTGAAGTGACGGGTAATAAATAAGATAATGTTGCTATAGGTCCTACAGGCAATGCTGGAGAAAAAATTGTTTCTTATTTTCTTTCTCTAAGAAAAAAAAAAAGTACAGAGGCAAGGATTCTTATTTGTAATAGCCAGGCATGAATAAAACCATGTTTGCTGCATACAGTCAGTGTAATCTCAGGCTGATGCAGATCCAAGCCATGTATTGCTGTAGGTTCTCAGTTGTCATAGTTAAGGTTACAAAACAACTTCCCTCACAGCATGTCTAATGTCACTGTCTGGAGCTGAGGCCCCACTACTGTATCCATGGTTAAAACTTTTCTTGCACTTGGTATCAGGGCTGCCACTAAGACTGGAACAATCAGACAGTTTGCCCTAGGCATTGACTCATTATATGTGATACATGATAATACATAGAGGGATACAGAATCAAGTTCTCCCCTGAAATTTCCAGGTGTTATGGTTTATTATTTACAATAGCTTTTTTTTCTGGGAAGGTTGTCGTTTGGGTCTTGTTTGTTTGGTTGGCAGTTTTTTTGGTACAAGTTTTCTTCTCTTGTTCCTTTTTATTTGAATAGAAAAAATAGACCTCTATTTCTGCTGCTGCAGTGATCCATTAAGTAAGTTTTCCACTATTTTTTTCTAGCTAGAAAAATACTACCTGGATGCAGCATTGCCTATTAATAACTACTTTGATTATGAAATCTATTAATTGCTTAACTGTCTGAAAGGGATTATTCAAAAAACATCTCTTGGTTTGTTTTCTTTTTAAAACAGGAATGGGGGGACTACACTGGGTGTATTTTTACCATTTTGAGCTAACTTCAACAGTCTTGCCCTCAGCTCCTTGAAACCAGTGAAACAAAGTTCCCTCTCTTTTATTTTTCCTTATAAACACCTAAGGAATGCAAAGAAATTTTATGTTGAACTTTTCTTTTAGTATGTGTCTTAGGGTTAGTGAGGAGTAAGGGAATGAGTACTGAAATTACCTGCCTAAGGTTTAAGGTCTTGTGTGATGCATTTCAGAATACTTTCTGTGGGGAATTTTTGGTGGCTTTCTCCCCCATCGACAATCTTACTTCATGCAATCAGCTGTCCTGCTATCCATGTTGAAAGGACAACCATCCTGAAGGAAAAAATAAACTCACTAAAAATTCCATTTTACGCCACTGAGTTCTAGTTTCCAGAGATTACCCTGCTGA